AAAAAAAAAAAAAAAAAAACTTTACTGTCCAACTGTATCAAGCGTGAATCGGGTATTAATTGTGTATTTAAAACATCTGAACTGATCTTACTTAACCCAGGTGACAACATTTATAAACCTCCATCAAAACGCACTGCAACTGCTGACGGAGGTATCTAAATGGGGCGTAAGTCGGTTTGTGTTCGACAAGGAGAACCTGTGTATAGAGTGTGATGCCGCGACGCCGCTCGACGCCGAGTCTGATGACCCTCTGCCACAAGACGACAGGCACAACAACCCACTGGAAAGCGAAGACACTTTGATACTTTATTACAGGTTAGTTCTCAAATGTAACCAATCCGGTATTGTAACAGACCTATCCGAGGCTCTCAGGAACCCTCAAGGTTAGTTACTTTTAACTAGTAGGCTAAGCACCATATGTGCTCGGCCACCTCAAGAATACTGAATCTTTAAATGCCTCTTCTAGGCATGACTTTAAACTCGAAACATTGGTATGAATAGGTCTTGTCATCTCTTTCATTCTATTTGACAAAATAGAGACCACAATAATACACTGTAGTCGATTCCCGTAGTTACGCTCACGGTCGTTGGCAGCCTAGCATTAGTTTGCGAGATATCTACCATTATATTGGTCTTATTTGTTAATACAAAATATGTTTTTGGAGCCCTCCCCCCTTCTAGTTACACTCACAGTTAATTTCATCCATGTTACTGCTCAGTTTTCAGGCCAGACAGGCCCTCAACATCACATTTTCCCTGTTGAATTCTGTTTTTCACCAGATAGGGAATTTTTAAACAATCTTACTACTTGTACGGGTACTAATTGACCCCTGGATATCATAGAATCCCGTGGGATGTACAACAAGGTAGTTTGTGGTGCAAGGTGTCGCAACTTCACGCCGCACTCTGTGTGGCGGCGCAGCGCGCGGCCGTGCGGCGTGGGCGTGGCGCCGTGGAGCGAGCTGCTGTACGTGTGCGGCGCCGACAGCCGCAGCGTGCTGGTGGTGGAGCGCGCGCAGCCCCGCGCCGTCGCGCGCCTCGCCGCAGACGACATGCTGTGTCCTGTGCACATCGCCTTCCTCAAGAACTTGGGCGAGATATACGTCACAGGTGATCTCACTTGCTGATATTTATTCCTAGCTTTCGCCTGCATGGAATTAAAAAACCAAACTTAAATTAAAAAACCAAACTTAAATTAAAAAACCAAACTGAGTATATTGACTAGAAATACTCGTATATGTCTATCACTTGCAATAATCGTTCCTCTCTTTCACTTTGCGCTAGTGAACTAGCTCGAACGATCTTGGTGTGTCCAGGGATCACATACGTTTGCATAAATAAGTAGGATACATAAGTTTCCTTTTTTGCACATCGTGTATACATATAAATATATTACGCCATATTTTCCACGAGGAGATCTTACCTAATCATCATCAACTTGCCCTTGACCCTACGAAGGGTCGGCACAGGATAAATTTTTGGTCCTTCGATGCTCTTAATTTTACCGTAAAATACCAGAATATAAATTTCATAGATATCATCTCATACTCTTAACTCTTACAGTTGTGAAGAATTTGTGATATTTTTTAGATAAATGGAAGCACTGTATCCACGTGTTCTCCAAGGAGGGCGAGCATTTACGGTCGTTAGGGCAGA